GTTTAAAATAACCCCCCCCCCCCCTTTTTTTGAAAATCTGGTAAGCCTCCATATTCCTCAAAATCAGTTATTGGGAATTGATTCCTCTAATTACTAAATACCATCTACTCAAACATAAATAATAACTAGGGCCTATGCAAGTGAGAGATTCAGTGATTGTGGGTCATATCTCATATGCACTTTATGACTGGTCTAGAGCAAAATGATTGGTCCCACAGTCAGTAAAGCAGCTATCAAATTCAGCTAATTCAAGAAGATTATTATAAATATCTAATGAAAAACACATGCTTAGCATAGGCAATATGGGCATGCAAAATCATGATTTTCAATATTGGACCGGGCAGTCGGACTGGAAAAACCAAGAACTGGTCAGGTGACCGATTCTGGTTTTCCTCAAAACTGGATTTTCTCAAAAAATCATTGATTTTGGTCAGTAAACCGCTGACCTGGGCAGTTAACCGTTTGAACTGTTTGAACGGTTTTGACCGTTTTTTGTCAAAATGAGCCAACCACTTGGTTCGAATGGTCGGATCGTTCAACCCAGAAACCGGACCCTGACTGATTTGTTCTCTGGGTCGGTTTTAAAAACCTTGTGCAAAATTAAATAATGCTTAATGAAAAGAAGCTTGTTCCACCAAGAAAAGCCAAGAAATAAAAAAGAATGGGTTTGATGGTAAGAACAATAGAGAAGATTGCCGGGAACTAACATTGCTTGGTGTAATATTAAAATTTTGGTCTGACAAGCAGTAAGGGCACAGATTTGAATCTGAAAGCAGCCTCTTCGTGCAAAAAATGCTAGAAGTTCCATATCCAGTCTAACCCTTCCCAAGAACCGGGGAGCCAATAAAAACAATGTCAGCTAGTAACCTTTTATTTTTCTATTATTTATGTGTGTAGCGAAAACCAACATAAGCTCCCCATTGTATATTTTCAAGGCATCAGCCCCCCATCAATGAAAAATCTAAGATATTAGAGAACAAGCCTAATGTCACTTGCAATTGTAAAGGCAAACCAATAAAGACATCAACTTTTGGACTGATGGTTACAAACGTGATTTTGACATCATAAAAATAGGATCCTTCCAACAGTTACGAAAAAGTTTTATGTGATTTTTTCAATTCTTGAGCCTATGTCCAGCCAAACAACTTCTTGAATAATAGAGGTGTAATGGGTATCTGATATTCCTAGGGCAAATAACAGGCCTGTACCATTTGCATTATTCCTAGTGCTGGCAATGGAAATGTTGGCCTCCAAAACCCGGTATCCAGCAAGGCTTGGATTCATTCTAGCAGGCCAAGCTGCACTAAGATATCCACGCAGATTTCAGCCATCTAGATCCAGTTGTATGAAAATGTTAATTGTATTAGGTATATCCTGAATTATTCATTTATCAAGCATTAAATTAATATTTCTTTCATACCTAACAAACTCTAGTACTTAATTCGTTATTCTTTTTCTTGGATGAACCAGGAAAGGTGTCAAACTGTCAATCAACAAGATTGATAATTGGTTTAGCTGGAACTCCACTGCTGCCATAACAAATCAGAACTGATATTCTGAACCCAAAACAATGCTAGTGTGTAATTTATAACTTGGACCTGAATAAGTGGGAACCATACTTATTTTGAGACCATAACGAGAGTACATCCAGTAAATCAAGCTTTAGTTTTTAATCTTATATCCTAAAAGACTGCCAGATGAACTTGAAAATAACTTACGTATCATTAAAAAGATGGGGATATTTTTACGGATCATTGTCAGAACTCTACCCACAAATTAATTCAAAGTCAAAATAGCAATGGGAATAAAAGGTTAAAAGGGATAAATGGTTTGCAAATGAGGAAGAAAATAAATTACTATAGATTATGATCATGACAGGATGAATATTTTAGGGATCTGCATCCTACCTGATAGTATTTGTCCCCTTGAAAAAATGCACGACCAAGGAGAGAAACTTGGAATTAAAAAAATGTGGCTCTAACCTTCAATATCAGGAGGCTATAATATCAAAATAACCACCTTGTATTAATTCTAAACATTCTCATCATGTTCACTGGAATCAGACGACCCACCATGCTTTTGTTGTCTGTTGTTTGACATTGAATGGCTCCTACGCTCTTTCCCTCCTGGCTTAGATGAGGCACTGCCATACCAAATCATTCCTACCACTGCTATGATCATGCCAACCACTACTTGTAGACTTAAACCCTCCTTCCCAAAACAAAAAAATCCCAAGATCAATACAAGGATAGTCTTCATGTGGCCAAGGACTTGGAAGGACACAGCCGTGAATCTACCAATGCAGATGAATTGGCTGAGATTGGTCCCTACTGCAATGGTGCACGAAAGAATAATGAATAACTGCAAGGAACAATCGAGTCAAATTGTCACCATCAAGCAACAAATCAATGAACATGCATCCATAAAGTACATACATATGCCTAAACCTAAATTTCTATTTGGCAGGTATATTATCACATCAACATGCCCATACATATGAAGAATATGCCATTCTAAAATAACACATACTAATAATATCAACCTATCACATCATATATGCGAATTAATTGGTGGTACATTGGATCAAAGGACCATTTTGAAAGGTTCAGGACATAGACATAAACATTTATGTTGACAATTTATGGCAAAACATGGACCACTGACATCAATGAATGTAGTTGACAACCTAGAATTTGGAAACTCATCCACTGGAGCATATGTAAGAAATTGTCAATGGGGACCTACCTCCACCAATATCCATCATGCATCCTATGTTCATATAGATGACCAGATAATGAAAACTTGAACCACAACAATAGCTTGTTAAAATATATTCACAAATGCATACATGGTTTAAAGTCTTAAACTGACCATTACAGTACATTCATAGCATGTAATTTCATAAATCACAATATGACTGATAATAGCATGTAATTTGAACAGGTGACCATATGCAATATGACCAATAATTTTAATTTCCACATATATGATTGATGTATACCAACATATTCTAAAAACTGTAGGCACTATATAAATCTAGTACATCTTTTTTTTCCTTTTGCAAGGCATATACAAATGTGATGCTTACCACAGACATCAAGCTATAATCAAAGGTATCAACTCTTTTGTTTGCCAACCAGAAATCAAGGAAAGGCCCAATCAACAGCAGCGTTGCAGCCTGAGCTGGTGCAGTATGGCCCAACAAATTGAAAGAGCTAAGTGAATACTTCCTTTGGAGGAAGTGTACATACTGCAAAGATAAAATCAACAGAATCAATAAATCTAGCAGAGAGACACCTCCTGTCAAGAATTTTGTACTTAGATCTGGCAATATAAGCAAACATTAGGTAGCAATAATAGTAAATAAAAAAAAGTAAGTCCAGTGGCTGGAGAAATTCAGGATATGCTGCTGATTTCATAAATGAATGACTTACATACTGTTGCAGAGAAGTGCTCCAAACTGCTACAAAAGCAGCAATGAAGCCTCTAGCATTGACACTAACATCAGTGACTGTGCACACTGCAACACCTAGTAGAACAACTGCTATACTAAGCTTTGTATCTCTAGAGTATCGAATCTTGTCGAAGACGACTTCAAGAAGACAGGATACGGGAATCATACTCAGCTTCGCAATCTGGCAATTCATAGTACAAAATATGCTTTAATTTGGAATTTCCAGCACTTGTAAATCAAAGGAATGATTAAACCTGGAAACCACCAGAACTGACCTGATAGAATCCCACTGAGTTCCACATTAGGCTCACATTCATTCCAACAATGGAGAAGTTAGCAAAAAGGATAAATTTCAGAAGTTCAGGTAGTGGCAGATGGGAGGCCTGGATATACCCTAGCCACCTAAGAACAGAGGTCATCAGTGTTGTGGTGGCAAAGTGCAGACCAGTTAATGTTGTAGCTGCAGGATCATAAAAAGGCCCCATGTTCAGGATTTGTAAACAGGCATAGTACCATCTATAGACACACATACATAGAAGCATAATGCAACTCCATGATCGAATTAGAGTAAAGGTGAAAACACTTGATAACTTTGCAGAATGAAATTTCCAATTGCCAGATGTAGCAAGTAGCATCACTGAAGGGTCAAATTGGATGGTACAAGGAGGATAAGTAACAGAAATTTGGAATTATTTAACAGAAAAGAAATTACAATTTACATGCTAAAAGAGTAGACATTCAAGATTTTAAATTGAGAATGACAAGGTTCCATGAAAATCAGTTCTTAAGATAATAAAATCAAACCTAAGAGTGTTATCCATAAAGCTTTTTCTCATTTTGGTAGGCTAAACTATTCTACTGTTGAAATTGGATAAGCCCATCAGTGAGAGCAGTAATCCAAATACCAGTGCCAATGCTTGCAAAGTTGGCAAAGTTCAAATAATGCTTCCATTGATATAGTTTGCATGTTATCAATAAAGATAAATTTGAAATTGAAGACCTTCAAAAGAAGGTACTTTCAGCTAGGGAATATGAAAAAATGAAAATGCTAAGACTACATTTCAAGATGGCTTCTTTAAGTCTTCTACTCTTCTGTTACTTTTCAAGTTGACAGCCAACAAAATCCTATTCAAACACAAAAATTGTTTTGTTGCATAGTTGTCGACGTGTTGCCCCATTGCATCACCTAGAATGTTTTAAAAAGGCACTTGCCCAACTTCTTAGGTGCTTGCCTAAGCAACTAAAAAGCTAGGCAGAATATCTTCACAAAATTTTAGGGGCATAACAAGTGCCTTAAAAGAGTCAGATTTACAATTATTAAGCAAGGGATGAGAGAGTTTTATTCTGTTCTCTTGCTTTTGTTTTGAGGATTAGTTGTGATGTTTACTCTTGAAAGCTTCCAGCAAAGATTGATAGGGCATTCAAAGTTCAGGATGCTTCCAATCTGGGCCTTGAAGATCCTTTCTCGTTCTGGGTTGCACTTGATAGCTTTGGTGTCCCTCTTGTCTTCTTTAGGAAAGGGGTTTATGCTGATTGGATGGTGAGAAGCAAGAATAGGATGTCATTAGAGAACAGTTTTATAGAGGATGGTACATACACACTCAACTACTAAGAGTGTCATCATTGTGTTCTTCAGGAGTCTTCTTTTGTTCCTCCTTTTTTGTTTAGCTGTCCTCCCATGACCCTTCCCCGAGGTTCCCAATGAAAGAAGTGTGGTGTGGGCCAATCCTGCCCAAGGTGAGGGCTTTTTGTTTTTGCTGGGAGGTGTCCATTCCAAAATCAATACTTGTGACTTGTGAGACCCTACAGAAAAAGAGACCAAATTGGTGTGTTTCTCCTTATATTTGTCTTCTTTGTAAAGCGAGTGTGGAAAGCTCTCTCCATCTACTAATCTCATTTTCTTTTGTGACTGGTATTTGGAAGAGATTTTTTGCTCTCTATGGGCGCAGGTGGACGTCCCCTCAAGATCTGCAACCTTGTTTAGCACCTTTTTTTCAGACCTCCCACAAGAACAGGTAAGATCTTATGGAGATGTTCCAGAGCTGCAATTCTGTGGACTGTATGGGAGGAAAGGATTGGCGGGTTATTCAAGGACAAGTTCCAAGATGGAAGAGCCATCATTGATATCATCACTGTTAGAGTAGCACATTGGGTGAGGTCTTTAAGCCTGTTCAACACCTTCACTTTTGATGATATCCCCAGCAATTGGGGACTGATAGCTAATTCAACCATTTCCAGAGTCACTATCCAACCAAGTTGGCTTCTGCCCCCACAACTTGGGGGAGTTTTTATAAATCATAATGAGAGTACAATTGAACCTTATTCTGGACCTGCAGTCCATGGAAATGCAATTAGAGCGGAAGTCCTAGCAGTGCTACAAGGATTAAAGCAGGCTAAGAGAAACAACTAGGTTAATATCATTGTTGAAGGGGACTCAAAGTGGTGGTGGAGTGGGTACAAAATGAAGGAAAGTGCCCATGGAAGTATAGACACTTTATTGGAGAGATCAATGGGTTAGAAAGAGACATAGTTGTTAATGCTCGGTGGGTTTACAGAGCTGCCAATGGGTTGGCAGATTGGTTAGCAAGACAAGGGGTAGAAAGAGAGAACCTTTTCTCGGGGATGGAATTTCTATCGTATTTTGAATAGAACAGCTTTGGGTTCATCCATCTCAACCTCTATACTCAACTACTAGAAGATACTATAAGGCATAGCCAGTGTTTTAAAAGGCATGGGAGGTGTACGCAAAACGCCCTGAGGTGTATGCTAGAGGCGTTGACACCTTTGAGGCGTACACCTCAAGTGCAAGAGGTGTACGCCTCATACGCTTTTTTCACGAGGCGTGCTAGAGGCGTACGCCTCATGTAAAAAGATAGAAAAAACAAAGAAAAAAAGAAAAAAAAGGAAAGAAAGGGAAGGGAAAGAAAAAGAAAGAAAAGAAAAGGAAAGGGAAAGAAAGAAAGAAAAGATAGGGAGAAAGAAAGTGAGCTGGGGACTAAAGAAAAATGAGCTTCCCCTTCCTCTTCTCCCCCCTTCTTCCTCTTCATCCCCCCCTCCTCTTAAGTAGGCTTACGCCTCTTATGCTCTGAACTACACCTCATGCCTCTAGGTAGTGGAACGCCTAGCGTTTTAAAACATTGGGCATAACCTGTTATGGAGACATAGTCAAAGGCTTCTAGTGGTATGAAGAGGACAAGGTGGGTGAAAATTAATAATAAGAAAACCTTATTATAAAAGAAATTAAATGTTCTGAAAAACATATTTGCTCAATTCAAAACACATAAGCATAACATATGAGACAAATTCAAAGTGAAAGTGAAAGCAAATGAGTAAGGATCATGCCAAGGTTCTTCAACACTTGACAATTCAAGCATGTGAAATTCTAAACGTGTTTGTCTATCTCCAGTTACATTATTTCAAGTATCTAGTGTGGTGTCAAACATCTTCCATTCCTAATTACAAGAGCTTGGGGCCTCTACAGAGGTGGAGGGCCGATGGGTCCAAATAAACCCATGTGTAGGTTTGGGGGCAGCACCTTTGATAAGAGGGTTGGTTTTATGATTTGGTTGCAGTTATTATGTTTAAAGGTTAGAGATCAAAGATTATATTTGTTGCTTCTTTGGTGGAAAATTTGTTATCTGAGATCCCATCAACAACAACTAGGGCTTCAAGTATTCAATTTTTTTCTTTTGAAAGCCAATAGACCACTATTTGTGCACAAGCACCAGTAAAAGATACATTAAAGTTAATAGACCATTATAGAGATGTAAAACACATAAAGAATGTACAGAAAGTAACAAATGGAAACTTATAATTGGCACAATCTTGAGTCAAGGTACATGGCACACCAGGCACATTCCTAGGTGTGTACACCAGGTGTGAGCCTTTTAAAGGGACATTGTTTGGGATCAAGTGAGGTCATCAAGCATGTCTTTTTAAAACATTGGGAGGATTATAAGAGAAAAGAGTTCAAAGACCTCAGGTCAAAAAAGGTTCACAAGGTGGACAAGGTTCTCCTTTTGGATAAGGCAGTGATCCAAGAAAAGTAGTTTGCAATGGCACTCTTTTTCTTTCAAAAAAGAAAAGAAAAGATGAAAAGAGAAGGAGATATATTGAAAGGGTGGATGAAGGTTATAGACCTGAATACATGACAGGGTAAGTAATTGTGTTTAGTAATGTTTAGGAGATTAAGAAAATTTACTTGCTGCTTGCTAAAGATGCAGCGGTATCTTTGAATGCTGCAAGAGGTGTTTCTAAAAGCATTAGGGAAAGAAGAAAGGGTGGTGAGGTAACAGATATGCAATTTAGAGGGCCCTAGTTGTGAGTGATGTGTAAACCTAGAGACTTTGATTCCTTGGACTTTGTTTGTTCCTTTTGCAGCATGGGGTTTCAATAGGCTCAAGATAGTAATACCATTTACATAAATAAGCACATCAAAGCCATGTGACATGATCAAGAACAAGGGTGCTACCCTCGAGGGAGAATTCTGTTCTGGAAGTTGGCAATATCTTAAACTACCAGTAAGGCAAAAGCATCGGTGATGTACAACATCAGGAGACAGTGATATAGAACAAAAGTTAAGAGGGAAAGAAACACGATGAGTACATAAACTGTTATATAAAATGAATATTCAAGATTAAAATTCTAACTTGCTAGAGCAATAGAGTGACAAGTCAGGATACAACGTAACTGAACAGAGTTGCATTACACTAAAAAACGAGTTCACTGCAAAGGCTACGCACTTGAATCCAATACAACCATTTTGAACAAAAAACTTGAACAAGTATTTTTCTTTTCCTTTTTGATTGGTAAACAACTTGAATAAGATTAAAGAAAAATCTAATTCAGCTTTTTTCCAAGAGAAATCAATCATGGACAAAAGAAAATGTTTACCAAAACTAAAGCCGTAGGTGGCCATCAAAGTTTTATTGACAATGATGATCCCGACGGAAGTGACAACGTTGAACATCCATGAAGCTGCATCTACTGCCGCCTTCTTACCAGACTTGCTTGCTGGGGCCATTTCATAGATCCCCATTAAGCTCTATTTAAGTTGCTTCTCCATGAAAACAAAATGAGAATTTTCTTATACTGCTTGTTATAGCTGTTGTAGCAATCCCACAAACCTGCCTGTTAAAAATACAAATTCGGAGCAAATCAGAAACGGAATTTCGCACCCGCAGTTCTTTGATCTAATTCCCACATCATTATCATTATACATTAACTAAGAGCATAACCACAGATCTCCTCCAAAGCCATGAAATTTGGTTGCTAAACCTCAAGAAATTCGACCATAAAATCTCAAAAAAAAAGAAGAAGAAATATAAAAAAGACGTGGGATGAATCATATACCCAACCAGCACTTGATGAAATTAAATTTAAACGTGTGAAGATTATGAATCTGATCCGAGATCGGAAAAAGAAAATTAGAGTAAAGAGTTAGCTTCGTGGACTCGTAAAACTTGAGAAATGAGACGAGATCCAACAGGCATGGGTCGAACGGTCGCCGTTGGTAAAGGAACACGCGCCCGGGGCATCGACCACTCTCCTAGTCTCCTGTATTGGCCCCTCCTCCTATTCTGTAGAAAGGGGTACTTGTGTAGAAATAGTCCTGCCCAGTTATTGACCGTCAGATCAGATGCTGCTCCTGATGCAAATGCGATCCATGAAAAGTGAAAACCATCTAATTCCAAGAGTGAAGAGTTGGGTACTCCTCTGATGCTATGCAAATTCTAATAAGTGCAAACAATGTGTTTGGATTCATTCATGTTTGCTTTTAGGTGAAAGAAGAAAAAGAGTAAAATCTAACGTAAACAAGATTTCGCACTTCCATGCCATGGGAGGTAGCCACGGGGTTACTGATGATGTTCAAAGTTCAAACAGACATGTATTACCGAGTTTGAACTTTGAATGTTCGAATCAATGAATCAAGCTGTTTTAGCCTTTCTAGCTACCTTCAAATTTAATTTCATGTAAGCTAGTAAATGAGTAATTAAAAAGGTAAATTTATACCCATGAATCCTGTATTTCTCGCATAACCCATGTCCCTTTACTCAGCCCCTAATATTTTTCATTAGAATAAGGGTAAAATAAAGAAAACCACGCTGTACTGTAGAGGCTCCATTTGGGAACAGAGTAAATACAAACATGTAGAGAGTGAAAAACCTTGTATACTGTATATATTTGTATTTGTACTCTTTTTAAACCAATCCTTGGGCTGCATTTATTTGAATGTAGTGTAAACGTAGAAGTACATTGATGAAGTTGTACACCAATGGAATGGATTTAAAGTTATCAACCATTATAAATTGGAATGTGTGATTATCAATGTAAATATTTATATCGCTTTTATCGAAATTGTATTTAAATCTACTATTGATGCAAAACTCGACATGAGTGCGAGTTTTACATCAATTTTAGATGTTTAACTATACTCTATCCAAATGCTGACTGAACTGGTCTGTATTTACACCTTAAACAAACGCAGCCTTAGGGGTAATGAGACTGAGGTCCCAAACTTTCATTTGTGACAAACTGGTATGTTGCATTTTCAAATTTTAAGGCTTTGCTACTGCCATTATCCATTAGCCTTTCTTTAAGTTTTCAACTTTTATAACATCATTTTCCCTATCATTGCTTAGAATTAACAACTTTCCTATGTCACTAAACAAATGGAAACAAAAATTAAAAAATTTGGTTTTGGAAATGCAATAAAAGAGAGGACAACATGGTCTCATAAAAGATCAAAATCTATGGAATGTTAATTATGGGAGCAAAATTGTTGGAACTTGAAACTACGGGGTAGCTTTTGTTGCAATGGAAAATTGGAGGAACTAAACATAACTACCCTCAAAATGCAGGATAGTTTGTCTGTATTTTACCCAAATTTAAATATTGAAAACTGATAAGTTAAACAAATAAATAAATGAAAACCTATTGTCTGTATTTTAATTATAACCTCAAATGTCAACACTATGAAACTTGCTTCAGTTTTTAAGGAAAATTACTGATAGGTATATTTCTAATGTTTCACTTACAAAAAAGTAATATGAAACAAAATCCTTACGAACTTTGCAAAATATACATTTTTTAATTTTTGATTTTATATTTCTTTTACTTGATTAATCATTTACCTGTTTGAATTTTGAAAAATAGATAATTCTAAACCATCAAACTTCAGTCCTAATATCAGGGAGAAAGAATATAAAACAAGCATTATTTTTCATTTTCCAATATTGAACACAAGAATGGGAATTGTAGTAGGTTGAGGTTGAGTGCGGGAATAACTTTATCAATAAGAAAATTAGTACGAAGAGTTTTCTGTCGTGTATTTAATAGTTGGGTTTGGGCCTTTATAAGATTGGACTTGGTTTGGGTTCTAGTTTGAATCTTTATTCTTTATGACTTTGTTGAGTTGTTCCAATATGAAAAATGGGCCGGGTTAATTTATTGGGTTCAACTATTATATGAAAAAGATATGATATCCAAAAAACATCTGACCAATTAATTGGAATCATATCCAAATTCATGGGTGGACTTTGATTGGTCAAAACTCTTTGCATACCATATTTTTTCTGTATCATAGATTTTCTCTAATTTTTAATGTCAAAGTACAGGTTTTTTGAAGTTTAAAAGATTTCTAACACCCCATGTCTATTGAGTTGGCATCTTCGGTCCCCTTGGTATAGAAAATTTTCTGTACCTAGACCAATAGTAATTTCTAACATTATTTAAAGGGAAATTGTCTAAAATTCATCATGAGTTTTTAACATTTCCCTTAAACTCATCACAGCTTTTCAAAATGTCTAAAACTCACCATGCCATTAAGTTTTTATTTTCCATAACTCACCTTCCCTTAGTGCACCGTTAATGCTTCTTAACAGAAGTGCCCATGTCAGTATAAATAATAATTTTCATGACCAAATTACCCTTGAATGGTGAGTTAGAGGAAAATTGGTATTTTTCAGTTTTTAATTTTCTTTTTTTTTTTGCATTTTTAGTGTTTTGTTATAATTTCCAATGTTTTTTATAATTTCTGTTTTTTTTACATTTTCTATTTTCTACAATTTATAAATTTTCCTGTATCTTTTGTTATTTATTTGTAATTTCTGTGTTTTTCTATAATTTTTTGTGTTTTTCTACAATTTTTATTTTCTGATTTTGTTTTTCAATTTCTATAGTTTCTATAATTTGAAAAACATTTTTATTTTGTTTGCAATTTCTAATTTTTTTTATATATTTTTTGCAATTTCTATGTTTTTATGTATTTTATATTTGAAAATATTTTTTGAAAATTTTCCTTTCTTTCATGTCTAAATATTAAAATGGTAATATATTAATACCCGTGAATTTATTTTCTATATATTTTATATTTTTCTATGAAAGTTAAAATGGTAATATATTAACACCCGTTAGTCGGTTTAACGTCAAATTAGTGACATGGTGAATTTTAGACATTTTGAAAAGTTGTGATGAGTTTAAGAAAAATGATGAAAACTCATGATGAATTTTAAACAATTTCCTTATTTAAAAGCCATTTTAATTTAGAAATGGAAAAACAGGGTATGTGGCAGATTGCTATTGGTCTGGTATACAAAATTTTCTATACCAAAAGGACAGACGATGTGAATTCGTGTCTACTCCCATATCCAATAAAGTTATATACGCATCTCAACATAGAATGGAGTTATGATAATTAAGGTGCTTCTGGTTGCCAGCTGGCAAACCAAAAGGGGGGAGATTTTAGTTCCATATGCCCAAGTGAATAGGATTTATTAGGCAGTTTGACAAAATAATGTATACTGGTTGGTGGTGAACACCCCCTTTTTATTAGCAGTAATCATATGTTTCTTGGATTATGAGAAATCAAGTTGGAAATCTATAAATATGACAGCATTCTATTTGACTTTAACCCAACCTCTATTTCTTGGAATTAAGAAATTTTGGCAAAATCCAACCTCTTTCAATTAAATGTGACAGCATACCTAATGGTTTGCGACTTACATTCCTTACAATTTCTTAAATTGCGTTTTGGCTATTTGGAAAATAAGACATTAATTAGGGTTCAAATTGGGCCAAGTTAAAGTTAAGTTTAGGGTTGAAAAATTATGAGCCCAGCTCAATTTCAAGGTTGGATTAGGGTTGAGGATTGGGCCAACCAGATCTGACCTGAGCTCAACATATCTTAAATTTTAATGTAGATGAAGTTTCATTCAACACGGCAAATTCAGGCATCGGCATTGTGATTAGAGAGAAGCACGGATTTCTGTCTTAGGCTGTATTTGGCATTTCTTATTTTGAGGATTTATCTCTCTTTTTATAGTATTAAATCTTTCATAGTGTATTCATACTTGCATCTTGGATCTGCTGTTCGGTTGGCCGTAGTATATATATCACTTGCTATATTAGTGGTGTGAGCAGAAGATCCTGAGTGTCAGATGTAAGGCTACTGTGTTCAAATTCTCCTGTTGCTTAGGCTGAGTTTGGAAGGAGTATAAATGTAAATATGTAGAATGCAAAACTTTATATTTTGTATATATTTACGCTGTACATATTTACATTTATACTGTTTCCAAACTGAATTTCACACCAGAGCACATTCATGCATTGGCTATTTGTTTCTGATCTGTCTAACTTTTTCTGTATTACCAATTTTCCTTGGGGAAGTCATCTCGAAGGATAAGTTGAACTGAAGTGCCGTTTTGCTTAAAAAAAGCATTAATAAAACCGTTAAAGAAAAAAAAAAAAACAAACAATAATATAGGTAAATGAATTGGAGTGGTTGGTTTAACCTAAAATATGGTAATAACTAATAAGGAAGGTTAATTACTTAACAGGTGATTTTTACAGAGATTTGTATCACAATGATTTTCAAAATGGCAGAAGAGGATGCCCATTTTAATACAGTGGGCCCCCCTTAATTATTTTTAAGGTTCTTAGGCTACAAATGGGCCCCATCCAAAACGAGCAAAACATGTGTATGTACCATGCACGTTGCAATGGTGCCAGTAGAACTTTGAATTAATTATCTGGATTCCAAATTTCAGTTGAGATTATTGAGCATTTGTGCCACCCAAACAAGTTTTGTCAAACCCTAATTGGCTGACAAGAAGATGAATATCATAAGCTACATGATTCGGTAAAAGAGGTTCCCACATGGGTCCAACCAATCAGACCGTTCAGGAACCAGATAGGCAACACAAACTACTTAAAACAATCTCAAGCCATAGAAATAGAGTGGGCCACGTTGTGATTTGTGGATTGTGAATTGTGATGGATGGAGCGCACCACCACTTGATAGTCAGTTACAGTATTATGTGATAATGAAAAATTGTGAACTGTGATTAGAGCTTAGGGAGGAGGTTGAAAAGACGTGTGGCCGTAACAATTCCTACCAAATTTAACACATGTCCACCACGGTCTAAGGACGATACACTTTCTATTTAATTGCTTCGACAGAATTAGCAATTCATTTACTGTTGACAACTGAGAGACTCCAGCGTTTTGTGCTTTGTTCTTCTGTTCTTCATAGTTCATAGGCGGTGTGGTGCGGTTATGAGATTAAGAATTTGAGAGGCTGAGAGTGAGGGACAGAGAAAGGCAACTCCCTAGCTGGTGCCCTAGTTGAACCCGGTTCATGTCCAAGAAAAACCAACCAAGATCAAATCCTTGCACATTACGACATATTGCTGGGAAATGGGTGTCAATTAAACTAAATTTAGACATGAAAACCATCCGGGCAGCCGGTTTTCTGTTTTACCCCTGAACTGAAATTCTTTCAAAAACCGTAAATTTAGCCAGCAACCAGCTGTCCCAGGTTGTCAAACTATCGATCCATTCAACCCGACAATGGTCTTTGCTTTGGTCT